ACTACCAGTCAAAAGTCCCTTTGTTAAGGAATTTTAAATGTTTTTTTTTTTTTTTTTAAGAATTTGAAATGTTGCATTTTGTGTTTGTCGAGAAGCACAAAAAGGATTGTGTTACTAATACGTAATGATTCTCTATTTTAACTCTTACCTTTATATTTTCAATGTCCATTAAATGGGTCCTATTATGCTTTTTCACTTTTTCAACTTTAGTTAGAATGGTTTAAATGATTCGGAGTTTCAAAAAGCTTCGGTTTGTTCTTTGCTCGCTTAGCTACTCTATATATATTCGTTGTCTGAATAACCATGGAAATGAAATAATTACAATTAATAGGCCTAACGTACAATGTTTTTATTAAACTGTGATCACGTTAAATAGTTTCCGTCGTATTAAAAACATTTCATAAAAAGTTTTCAACAGCATCCCCCCGTTTTTTTCACAAATCGCACCCTGGGTATAACATTTGAGTACTGAATAAGCCAAATTCAAGTCTTCATGATCTCACACACACAACCTGTTTACTGTACAAACACAACATTTTACAAACAACCTCTTTCCTTAGCTCAAGTATGCAAACCTCTTTGCCACATGCACTGGAATATGTATTATATTGAAAGTTACATTTTCAAATGAAAATGGCAACATGATCGTTCTTCAAAGTATGCGTTCATGTGTGCTTCATTTTCGCTGGAGGAAACAGCTGTGGTATGAGGGGTGAACGCAGTGACAACTTAAAGGCTACAGTAGGTGGGGAACCGATTATTGCTCCCCCATGATATTTAGTAAACTGGATTTAGCCTATGACAAATATATCGCTATAGCCCCCCTAAAAATGGCCTAGGGACGCCCATGGCTGGGGACGTTTTCTTTTATAATTATCATTGGCTGATAGAAATGTTTTAAAAAAAAGTATTTTAGATGGAAATAAGATCAAGACCCTTGATCACGTCATGATCTATTCTGTCGTGCAGCACTCAAAATAGGCCCTTTACACATGACGTCACGCAACTTCCGTTCTGACGCGAAGCAGGGTATTCTTACTTCCGCCAGCATGGTAAGCACTATCGCTACCAGCAGGGAGTTCGCCAAAATGCTTGTACAACTGCCACAAATACGATTAGAGGATGACTGCTGCTGTCTATTCTCGTCCTCGTTCAAGTAGAGGCGTCTGGCATCTCAAACGAACTTACCGAATGGCGAGATTTGCCGCTTGAAGTCGAGGGAGGAGTTCAAAACGGAGTCGAGGGAGGAGTTGAAAACGGAGCACTGCAGTCACTGATTCCCGCGACTCTCGCGCACTGTTTGCTGTCTTTATTGCAGTTAGATGAAGTTGGTTAGATATATTTCTCAAATAAACAAACGTTTTAGACATTTACATGTGGTAACAGAAAGCCTTTTCATTCAGTAATTTATGTCCTGCTTACAGTGCCTGTATGTACAAGAATAGTTCAACATAAGCTTGTACTATTTAAATATCAATAAAATGGGGTCTATAATTTTCCGTTTTATGAATGTAATTCAGAAATAAATATTAAGTTTATATAAAAAGCGTTTACAGTTAAAAACAGATGCCAGCATTTGTGTAAAATATAAAACGCAGGTCAGCTGTTTTTTTAAAGATGCATATAGCCTATAATGAAAATAAAATATGATCGATCATATTAATAAATAATTCAAAAAGTAAAAACACGGTATACGTGTAGTTAAAGGGAAATTGAATGGAGGAATTTAAGTAATTGTACAAGTCCAAAGTTCTGTAGAACTACGTGGCTGTCCTTTTTGTATTGTTTCAGTATTAAGCCATATTCTTGAACTGAATAATTAGTTTCTTTTCAGACCACTTGCCTTTATGGATGTGAAACTTGCCATGTAGTAAAACGATTTAATATAAAAAATATGACTTGTGTCCATGTCATTTCCCCATAGTAAATAAAAACAAAATCACGTTGTTTGTCTTTTTATTGCCCAACTATAGGGGGAATTTAATTTACACCGTGTACTCACAAATTATCCAAGGAATGACATAAACCGAAATAACAAGTGAAATGGTTTCAAGTATGTAGTTCGTGTGAACACATAATCGTTGTCATACAAATCTGAAAGCAAGCAGTTGCGGCAAGCAAGCC